AACGGCAACCCTGGTGTGGTGAGGGTACCAGCCGTTGGGGATGTCCTTTTCTTCCTGGCAAGTCGCTGTGTAGTGATGGAGTCGCCTATTCCCTTCTGCTGGATCAGGAGTAGAAGCAAAGTACAGCTCTGAAAAGAGCTAAGTGATTAAGCTGCATAGATTCCCCTTTCAAGAACGAGACGAGGCTACGTTTTGAAGGGTCAAGAAGAACTGAGGGTTTATTGACAGACACTCTCTTTTATGCGATTCTGCCCATGCAAGGAAGACACCCACATAATTAGCAGTACAACCAATCCATACAATATACATTCTGTACATCCCCTCCCCTAAGATAACATAATTAAAAAGTAACATATTTTCCCCAAACTTCAGATGTACCCCAAATACTTATATTTATGGTACTAACATATTTAAAAATCAGCCCATGCGGTTCAGCCGTTCGGGAGATATGGGACTTAGAAGTTTTGACCGACCGCACGGGTACAGTAGCCGAAAACAGTTCCATGAATGCTGGCCCTGCAGTCGGTCTAAGATTGTGGGTAAAAACTCCTGAACGGCCGGCCATCCGTATGCCATCCTGGGTTCGCTGAAATCCCCATCTGTTGCTGATTCTTTCTACCGAACGCCTGGTCCTTCGGTAGTTTTGGCGAGGTTTTCCCGAAGGTATGGAGGTCTCAGCGGTGTTCGCCTGTTTGAGTGTCCGATTTTAGTTCCAGACACTCGACGGCAAACACCGATGGCCGCGAACACGTGGAAGTCCCGAAATGGCGGCTGAGCTTACAGCTCCCATAGCGTTCATGCAGTCTTTCGAATAAAAGTGCCCATCAAGCAGGGAGGTAAATTAGTCATAATTAGCAGTCAGGGTGGCCTGTTAGAGGTAGGTAAGCATTCGCATGGGGAATGCTTACAAAATACCGAACGGCCTTATAATCCATAGGTCTTTTCCAGGCAAACTGTGATTTTTGTTACAATACAGTCACAGCTTTTACCCATAATGCACTATGTTTTCCTCCCTTCTGCCCTGGAGATAATTGAGAAGTAATTCAATTATCTCCAGGACAAAGACAAATCGCCATCTTAAATATAATATTAGAAAATACATAAAAATATATAACTTTACAATAACCGAACATTTCCCATTCGCATCACATATCCCCAGATAGCAAATAGCGCTCAGATCCCACACACATAGTTCAATCGCCAGGCGTTCCGTTGTTTCAGCGGTGTTCGGCAGAAAAAGTGTCCGTTTTTAGTTCCATGAAAATAGAGCCGAACACCGCTGGGCTTTCGCGTGTTTTAAAATGGCCGCTGCCTCGTGGTCGACATACGAACGACGACCACCCTGAATTTGGTTTAATTGAGAAGTGTCTGCGGTTAACAACAACGTTCTAATTGGGATCAATAGGTTAACCAGCAGCACACTTCTCTCCTGGGTGGCCATGCGTTCAGTAGTTTTGTTCGGGAAAAACAGTCGTTCGTATGGCTGGGCTATAGGAAACAGCATTTACACGAACGGGGCAGAAACAGACGAATCCACCGCAATAAATAGACAGATGGTAAGCCCTGACGCATTTCTCCTATAACAAACATTCCTGACACATTTTCTCCAATAAGCCCTGTAGCGGAATAGCAGGGGTTAATCCAATAGCTCTCCACTGGGAACAAAGATTCTGCATACAGAATCACAGGAACACAGCATAATCCACTAGACTAGACGACACGTAGTCTGGGAGTCAACTGATGTCTTTATTCACAGGTCTGCTTTTATGCATTTTTCCCATGCAGGGGAGATAACTTTCACAATTACTACAGTAACCAATCACCCTGTGGTCACCTCCCCTACTTCTCCTCCCCTTAGATTAACAATTAACAAGATCAATATGCACACAGTTTTCCCCAACTTGTGGATGTCCCCTAAATACAGGGTTGAATAACAGGTCCCCTGGTAGCCCTGATCTGGGTGAGCAACATACTCAAAATTCACCCTGATCGGACCAGGGGTTCGGGAGTTCCAGCAGGTGAAAGATTTGACTGACCGCACAGGCACAATAGCCGAAAACAGTTCCATGAATTCTGGCCCTGCGGTCGGTTTCTTCTGGTGAATCAAAAGTCCAGAAAGTCTATGGCATCCAGGCTTCCTTTACCGTTCGAATGAATCCCCTCATTCGTGGGATTCCACATACCGAATGCTGAGGTGTTCATGTCGTTGATTCGTGCCTTTTGAGCGTGCTGGAGGTCTTAGCTGTTCTTGGTTAGTCAAATGCCTGGTTTGAGTTCCAGGCGTTCGACGACCAAGTACCGCTGTTCGTGCGTAAGATGGCCGCCGCCACGTGTTCGGTAGGCAAAATGGCGGCCATACACGCACTCGCACTTAACACACTTCGCAACATTGTTGCTTTTGTTAATAGGAGGCACACGACCACACCGGGGTGGTCCCTCGTTCAGTAGTTTCAGAGCATTCACATGGATGATAGTACAGTCCGTTCGTGAACTGAGTCTCTGCCTTTGCACACATACGACTATTATAACTCCAGCGTTCATTCACAAAGAAAAGTTAGAATCTTAGTGGCAGGGTTTGCCACAAGCCCCAACACATTACAAGAATAATCCAAACTAATCAAACCAGACACATTTTCCCAGTACAGTATGCCCAAACGCATTTCTCCTGTAAGAAGCAATTCCAACAAGTTTCTCCTCCTAGTCAAAGTCGCCATACATTCTGTCTCCAGTTGGCATACCCAACACATTGATGCCTGCAGAGAGTCATTGTCACAGTTATGCTCTCTCCAGCCTACCACAGTCTCTTCCTATTGCTGTTGTATCTGTAACGGATCACCTGAAACCACGACTGGGTATCTCCGTTGATGGACGCACCTAGCGCTGCTTAAGGATTCCAAGCACTCTAGCCAACACCACAAACACAGCAGACCGAACCTCTCTTCCTTCAGAGCAAAGCAGGAACGAGCTCTTAAAAGAGCTTAGGAGTGATTATAGCAAGTGAATATGCAGAGCATAGCAATCCCTTGTAGAATATTCCCCCAATAAGAGACAGGACTCCAAATTGAGGGTGAAGTAGAACTGTCTAAAACTTTATTTTACTTGGGACTAGCCCATATGGTTATTACATTAACATTGCTGTGAAAACTCAATAAAATTACAAATCATAGCAGGCAACATACAGTGACTTATTATAACATAATTACATATTTATAAATGGGTGGGGAAGACCATAATTAACACAAAATGTCTCTCCTGCATGCAGAATTAGCGATATGCAAATCTACCCGAATATGCAAATTACCAGTCTTGCTATTCAGGTAGTGCATATTACTGTTGCTACCAACAGAGGGCACTATACAAGTTCCATAGCCAAATGCACCTAGTTGGTAGCAATCCTCAGCAGTACAGGAGAGCAGGAAATACATCCCAGGGGCCATAGTCACATGGCTGGAGGCTGGCAATCAGTCTTCTCCAACGTCCAGTGGCGGGGCTGGTTCCACCACAGTATCTATCTGTCATATCCAAGAGAAAGAAAGGGGAATGACAAAACTTACTGAAAAGAGAATGTCCTTCGCCAAGCAGGTCTCTTCCATGGGTGGCCTTCGACGGCAGAAAACGTTTTTCTGGTGAGATGTTCCACTCATTCAGAACAGATACTGATAGTCTGAGTGTCTCTTGATAGTTGTCTCATCTCCGATTCTCACCAGCTGTCTCTATAAGATCTATCATTCACTGGACCTCTGGTGGTTTTGCAGTGTTCTCCCTACAGTCTCCATAATTTGGATGGGTCAACCCTGTCCCTCTCGTCAGACCTCTAATAACTGGGTGTTTGCTCAGATTGTCTTTTTGGATACCAACTTAACAGCCAAGGATGGCTTTACACTCTCTAATTCTTTGTGTGATGGTCTGTCTGCGAGGCAGTCTTTAGCGGTCACTTTTACTCTATGTCTCCTCATATTGTTAACTAGTTACTTGTCACATTGCCTCTTCATCCCTTTAGTGTAAAGCTGTCTCTCACGGAGAATGTCTGATGCTATCTGCCAGGTTGTCTGTCTCTTGCAGTCTCTAAGGAGTTCTGTTGTTTGCAGTCTCTGAGGGGTCTATCTTGCAAGGTCTCTCAGAGGGTCAGTTTCTGGATGTTTAGAGAGTCTGTCTCTCAGGATGTCTTCCTATTGCTGTCTCTCATGGTGCCTGTCTATGGCTGTCAATCAGGATATCTATTACTGGCTGGCTGTCAGAGAGTATATTGATGGCTCTCACTCAGAAAGGTTTGTCTCTAGCTTTCTCTTAGAGTGTCTGCCTCTTTCTTCACTCAGAAGGTCTGTGTGTTTCTCATGTCTGTGACTGGCTGTCACTCAGGGGGGCTGTCAATGGCTGTCACTCGCTGTCTCTGGGCTGCCTATTCTAGTGGTCAGTTTCGGCTCTCAGAAAGTCTGTCCCTTGCAGTCTCTCAAAGGATCTGTGTTTAAGAGGGGTTGTCTCTAAGTAACTTTCTCTCAGAGAGTCTATCTATGGCAGTTACTTGGGCCGGAGCTGTCTAACTTGGGGGACAGTTACTTGCAGACTCTCACAGTCAGAGGGGCTGTCTCTGGCTGTCTCTCAGAGGGTCTGTCTCTGGCTGTCTCTCAGAGGAGCTGTCTATTAGAGGGTCTGTCTCTGGCTGTCTCTCAGAGGGGCTGTCTTTCAGAGGGGCTGTCTCTGGCTGTCTCTCAGAGGGGCTGTCTCTGGCTGTCTCTCAGAGGGGCTGTCTCTGGCTGTCTCTCAGAGGAGCTGTCTATTAGAGGGTCTGTCTCCGGCTGTCTCTCAGGGGGTCTGTCTCTGGCTGTCTCTCAGAGGGGCTGTCTATTAGAGGGTCTGTCTCTGGCTGTCTCTCAGAGGCTGTCATAGGGTCTGTCTCCTGGCTGTCTCTGGCTGTCTCTCAGGGTCTGTCTGGCTGTCTCTCAGAGGCAAATGCTCAAGCTACTCTCAGAGAGTCTGTCTTAGCTTCTGTCTCTCTCTGACTGTCTATTAGAGGGTCTCTCTCTGGCTGTCTCTCAGGGGGTCTCTCTCTGGCTGTCTCTCAGAGGGGCTGTCTCTCAGAGGGTCTCTCTCTGGCTGTCTCTCAGAGGGGCTGTCTCTGGCTGTCTCTCAGGGGGTCTGTCTCTGGCTGTCTCTCAGAGGGTCTCTCTCTGGCTGTCTCTCAGAGGGTCTCTCTCTGGCTGTCTCTCACAGGGGTTGTCTATTAGAGGGTCTATCTCTGGCTGTCTCTCAGAGGGTCTGTCTCTGGCTGTCTCTCTCTGGCTGTCTCTCAGAGGGTCTCTCTCTGGCTGTCTCTCAGGAGGTCTGTCTCTGGCTGTCTCTCAGAGGGTCTCTCTCTAGCTGTCTCTCAGGGGTCTGTCTCTGGCTGTCTCTCAGAGGGTCTCTCTCTGGCTGTCTCTCAGAGGGGTCTGTCTCTGGCTGTCTCTCAGAGGGGCTGTCTCTCAGGAGGTCTGTCTCTGGCTGTCTCTCAGGGGGTCTGTCTCTGGCTGTCTATTAGTCTCTCAGAGGGGCTGTCTATTAGAGGGTCTGTCTCTGGCTTTCTCTCAGAGGGGCTGTCTATTAGAGGGTCTGTCTCTGGCTGTCTCTCAGAGGGGCTGTCTATTAGAGGGTCTGTCTCTGGCTGTCTCTCAGAGGGGCTGTCTATTAGAGGGTCTGTCTCTGGCTTTCTCTCAGAGGGGCTGTCTATTAGAGGGTCTGTCTCTGGCTTTCTCTCAGAGGGGCTGTCTATTAGAGGGTCTGTCTCTGGCTGTCTCTCAGAGGGGCTGTCTATTAGAGGGTCTGTCTCTGGCTTTCTCTCAGAGGGGCTGTCTATTAGAGGGTCTGTCTCTGGCTGTCTCTCAGAGGGGCTGTCTATTAGAGGGTCTGTCTCTGGCTGTCTCTCAGAGGGGCTGTCTATTAGAGGGTCTGTCTCTGGCTTTCTCTCAGAGGGGCTGTCTCTCAGGGGGTCTGTCTCTGGCTGTCTCTCAGGGGGTCTGTCTCTGGCTGTCTCTCAGAGGGGCTGTCTATTAGAGGGTCTGTCTCTGGCTGTCTCTCAGAGGGGCTGTCTCTGGCTGTCTCTCAGAGGGGCTGTCTCTCAGGGGGGCTGTCTCTGGCTGTCTCTCAGAGGGTCTGTCTCTGGCTGTCTCTCAGAGGGGCTGTCTCTCAGGAGGTCTGTCTCTGGCTGTCTCTCAGGGGGTCTGTCTCTGGCTGTCTCTCAGAGGGGCTGTCTATTAGAGGGTCTGTCTCTGGCTGTCTCTCAGAGGGGCTGTCAATGACTGGTAGAAGGATAAATTGATTAACCAATCACAGCTCCTCTTACTCGGGCAATGGGCGGAGCCCTCGTATTAGAGTGTTACAGATTAGAGACAGAATGCACTGATGCCAACACAGCGGCCCAAATAAAGAGGGAGATTCCCATAGTCAGCATCAAAGGGAGAGTCTACAACAAAATGGCGGCAGAGGACGCTGGGCTCAGGAACTGGCGACATCAACCGGGGAGGAGGAGGCCGGGGGCACAGAGTCTCTAGTACTTAGCGCTCTACAGGAAGCCATTCTATCTGGGAATAGACAGAGAGAGGGGGGTAAGTAATACAGAGACACCCAGTGTGTAATACAGAGACAGACAGTGTGTAATACAGAGACAGACAGTGTGTAATACAGAGACAGTGTGTAATACAGAGACAGACAGTGTGTAATACAGAGACAGTGTGTAATACAGAGACAGTGTGTAATACAGAGACACCCAGTGTGTAATACAGAGACAGTGTGTAATACAGAGACAGACAGTGTGTAATACAGAGACACCCAGTAATACAGACAGTCAGTAATACAGAGACACCCAGTGTGTAATACAGAGACAGTGTGTAATACAGAGACACCCAGTGTGTAATACAGAGACACCCAGTGTGTAATACAGAGACAGTGTGTAATACAGAGACAGTGTGTGTAATACAGAGACAGTGTGTAAGACAGAGACAGTGTGTAAGACAGAGACACCCAGTGTGTAATACAGAGACAGTGTGTAATACAGAGACAGTGTGTAATACAGAGACAGACAGTGTAAAATACGAGACAGTCAGTGTGTAATACAGAGACAGTGTGTAATACAGAGACAGACAGTGTGTAATACAGAGACAGACAGTGTGTAATACAGAGACACCCAGTGTGTAATACAGAGACAGTGTGTAATACAGAGACAGACAGTGTGTAATACACAGACAGTGTGTAATACAGAGACAGTGTGTAATACAAAGACACCCAGTGTGTAATACACAGACAGTGTGTAATACAGAGACAGTGTGTAATACAAAGACACCCAGTGTGTAATACAGAGACAGACAGTGTGTAATACAGAGACAGTGTGTAATACAGAGACACCCAGTGTGTAATACAGAGACAGACAGTGTGTAATACACAGACAGTGTGTAATACAGAGACACCCAGTGTGTAATACAGAGACAGACAGTGTGTAATACACAGACAGTGTGTAATACAGAGACACCCAGTGTGTAATACAGAGACAGACAGTGTGTAATACAGAGACAGACAGTGTGTAATACAGAGACACCCAGTGTGTAATACAGAGACAGTGTGTAATACAGAGACACCCAGTGTGTAATACAGAGACAGACAGTGTGTAATACAGAGACACCCAGTGTGTAATACAGAGACAGTGTGTAATACAGAGACAGACAGTGTGTAATACAGAGACAGTGTGTAATACAGAGACACCCAGTGTGTAATACAGAGACAGTGTGTAATACAGAGACAGACAGTGTGTAATACAGAGACAGTGTGTAATACAGAGACACCCAGTGTGTAATACAGAGACAGTCAGTGTGTAATACAGAGACAGACAGTGTGTAATACACAGACAGTGTGTAATACACAGACAGTGTGTAATACAGAGACAGACAGTGTGTAATACAGAGACAGTGTGTAATACAGAGACA